AAGTATCGACAACAGACTACCTTCCATAATTACAAGGGTACCATCCATTGGAATAACAAAAATCTTGAGAACAGACTACCTTCCATAATGACAAGGTTACCATCAATTGTAATAATAAAAATCTCGATAATAGACTACCTTCCATAATGACAAGGCTACCATCCATTGGAGTAACATAAATCTCAATGAAAGACCACCTTCCATAATGACAAGGCTACCATTAAACGAAATAACAAAAATATCGACAACAGACTACCATCCATACTTACAAGGTTACCATCCATTGGAATAACAAAAATCTCGAGAAAAGACTACCTTCCATAATGACAAGGCTACCATCCAACGAATTAACAAAAAATTCGACAACAGACTTTCTTCCATAATGACAAGGTTACAATCCATTAGAATAAAAAAAAACTCGACAACAAACTACCTTCCATAATGACAAGGTTACCATCCATTAGAGTATCAAAAGTTTGGACAACAGACTACCTTCCATAATTACAAGGGTACCATCCATTGGAATAAAAAAAATCTTGACAACAGACTACCTTCCATAATGACAAGGTTACCATCCATTGGAATAACAAAAATCTCTACAAAAGACTACCTTCCATATTGACAAGGCTACCATCCAACGAAATAATAAATTTTTTGACAATAGACTACCTTCCAAAATGACAAGGCTACCATCCAACGAAATAAAAAACATTTCGACAACAGACTACCTTCCATAATGACAAGGTTACCATCCATTGGAATAAAAAAAAACTCGATAAAAAACTACCTTCCATAATGACAAGGTTACCATCCATTAGAGTAACAAAAGTATCGACAACAGACTACCTTCCATAATTACAATGGTACCATCCATTGGAATAACAGAAATCTTGAGAACAGACTACCTTCCATAATGACAAGGTTACCATCAATTGGAATAACAAAAATGTCGATAATAGTCTACCTTCCATAATGACAAGGCTACCATCCATTGGACTATCAAAAATATCGACAGGAGACTACCTTCCATAATGAAAAGGCTTCCATCCATTGGAGTAACATTAATCTCGACAACAGACTACCTTTCATAATGACAAGGCTACCATCCATTGGAGTAACATAAATCTCAATGAAAGACTACCTTCCATAATGACAAGGCTACCATTAAACGAAATAACAAAAATATCGACAACAGACTACCATCCATAATTACAAGGTTACCATCCATTGGAATAACATAAATCTCGACAAAAGACTACCTTCCATAATGACAAGGCTACCATCCAACGAAATAACAAAAATTTCGAGAACAGACTACCTTCCATAATGAAAAGGTTACCATCCATTGGAATAAAAAAAAACTAGACAACAAACTACCTTACATAATGACAACGTTACCATCCATTAGAGTAACAAAAGTATCGACAACAGACTACCTTCCATAATTACAAGGGTACCATCCATTGGAATAACAAAAATCTTGAGAACAGACTACCTTCCATAATGACAAGGTTACCATCAATTGGAATAACAAAAATCTCGATAATAGACTACCTTCCATAATGACAAGGCTACCATCCATTGGACTATCAAAAATCTCGACAGCAGACTACCTTCCATAATGACAAGGGTACCATCCATTGGAATAACAAAAATCTTGACAGCATACTACCTTCCATAATGACAAGGCTACCATCCATTGGAATAACAAAAATATCGACAAAAGACCACCTTCCATAATGAAAAGGCTACCATCCAACGAAATAACAAAATCATCGACAATAGACTACCTTCCATAATGACAAGGCTACCATCCAACGAAATAACAAAAATTTGACAACAGACTACCTTCCATAATGACAAGGTTACAATCCATTAGAATAAAAGAAAACTCGACAACAAACTACCTTCCATAATGACAAGGTTACCATCCATTAGAGTATCAAAATTTTGGACAACAAACTACCTTCCATAATTACAAGGGTACCATCCATTGGAATAACAAAAATCTTGACAACAGACTACCTTCCATAATGACAAGGTTACCATCCATTGGAATAACAAAAATCTCTACAAAAGACTACCTTCCATAATGACAAGGCTACCATCCAACGAAATAATAAAATTTTTGACAATAGACTGCCTTCCATAATGACAAGGCTACCATCCAACGAAATAAAAAAAATTTCGACAATAGACTACCTTCCATAATGACAAGGTTACCATCCATTGGAATAAACAAAAACTCGACAACAAACTACCTTCCATAATGACAAGGTTACCATCCATTAGAGTAACAAAAGTATCGACAACAGACTACCTTCCATAATTACAATGGTACCATCCATTGGAATAACAGAAATCTTGAGAACATACTACCTTCCATAATGACAAGGTTACCATCAATTGGAATAACAAAAATCTCGATAATAGACTACCTTCCATAATGACAAGGCTACCATCCATTGGACTATCAAAAATCTCGACAGGAGACTACCTTCCATAATGAAAAGGCTTCCATCCATTGGAGTAACATTAATCTCTACAACAGACTACCTTCCATAATGACAAGGCTACCATCCATTGGAGTAACATAAATCTCAATGAAAGACTACCTTCCATAATGACAAGGCTACCATTAAACGAAATAACAAAAATATCGACAACAGACTACCATCCATAATTACAAGGTTACCATCCATTGGAATAACAAAAATCTCGACAAAAGACTACCTTCCATAATGACAAGGCTACCATCCAACGAATTAACAAAAAATTCGACAACAGACTACCTTCCATAATGACAAGGTTACAATCCATTAGAATAAAAAAAAACTCGACAACAAACTACCTTCCATAATGACAAGGTTACCATCCATTAGAGTATCAAAAGTTTGGACAACAGACTACCTTCCATAATTACAAGGTGTAGCGGTGAAAATCGGAGATCAAGCTATTAATTAACTTGACTCACAAAAGCAAGAGTCGCCACCGCGCTTTATTATTTCCAAGGGAAAAGGGAAAAGAGCGAAATAAAACCCTAAAATATGCAATGTAAAATAATACTTAAAAATAATAAAAATACAATGCATTTTGAAAGAGATCGAGAGTTCGGGGGTTGGTTATACAATGGGAAGGTATTAGCACCCAATGCATCTGCGGTACTCCGCAGGAACCTTTTGAAATGTCTGTTTTTTGGTTAAAATTGTTTGTTTGATTAAAATGGTTCGTTTGGCTAAAAATCGGTGTTGGAGAGATTTTGAAGTTACGACGACCTAGGGTCGAAGTTTTGACTTAAAAAGGTGAGTTTGAAAATGGAGTCTTTTGGGAAAATTATCTTGAGTTTGGAAAAAATAGTAAATAAGCAAAAAATGAATGAGGTTATTCGCACGATTGTAGAAGACGTATTTGATGACATGAAGTCAGTTGGGTTGAAACATTTCCCTTGGAATTGAGCAAACAAGCGAAATAAGATAAACATCAAATTACAAATATTCGAAAATCCACAAGGAAATAAAACAAATAAATGAAACTAATCATCTAAAAAAGTTATTTGAACTAAATTGAAAAAAATTAAGATTACTTGTTAAAATAATTCTAAACTAACTACAAATTCTAAGGCTATAAAAAATAATTCTAAAATTACTAAATTAGATCTAACTAAATTAAAATTTTAAAATTAGTAAATTACATTTAAATTAAATCGAAATTATAAAGGCATTAAATTAAATCTAAATGAAAACTCTAAAATTATTAAATTAAAACCTAAATCAAATTAAACCTAAACCAAATAAAATTCTAAAGTTACTAAATTAAATTTAAAAAATTCTGAAGTTATCAAGTTAAAATCTAAATCAAATAAAAATTCTAAAGTTATTAAAGCTCTAAAATTACTAAATTATATCTAAACTAATTTAAATATAAACTAAGTTAATCATAAAATCACTAAGTTATAAAAATTAAAATTCTAAAGTTGTTAAGTTAAATCTAAACTAACTTAAATTTCTAAAGTTACTAAAATAAATCTAAGCTAACTAAAAATTCAAAGGTTATCAAAATAATTCTAAACTAACTAAAAATTCTAAAATTATTAAATGATTCTAAATTGATTCCATGGTTAAATTACTTAACTAAAACAATGCGATTACTAAATAATTTTTACTAACTAAACTAAACAACTAAAACAAATAAGTTAAGAAATTAAAATTAAACTAAAAAAACAAATTTTTAACAAAGGGGTGCAAGCAGAGTATAAAGGGTATATTGGTTAGTAAACAAGGTGCTTGTGCAAAGAAACCAACCTCCAAAAGTCTAGTACATAATAAAACCATAGTAGCAGCAATGAAGATTGTGGTAGTAGCTACTGTTCCTCGCCAACCATCCATATAGAAAGTAGCAACAAGAAGCGGCACGGCGGCGACACGACCGAGAGTGAGAATGGTGGGCAGAGTGAGCAATTTGGAACGTGGTCTGTGTAGCAGAGAACGAAATGGGTTTTGGTAATTCTTTGAATGTTATCTCTCAGAACCTTGCGGTGACGCTTTGCTCCGCCCTGTCCCAAACCGTCGCTGTTAACAGCTTCACCCTCATTCGGCCGCGCCTTCCTTCGATTCACAAGCACCACCGCAGCATTCCATACTCCTTACCGCGAATCTCGATCTGAACCTCTTCACAATCTTCCTCCGCTAATCTCCGAAACCCACTGTCGCTGTACCTACAACACAGAAGAGAGAAAAGAGAATCAAACGGAACCGACCATGAACACATAAACACACGGCCGAAGGACGTAGCACCGAACCAGATAGACAGCGCCGCCGCTGTTGTTGTGATTTAGGGATTTTTCTTTTGCTGTGGTTGAGAGAGATATAAGAAAGGTAGGCGTCGGAGAAGAGAGAGGAGGGTCGGTGTTTTGGTTGATGGGGTTTGTCGATGGTAGCTGGTGGTGGTTCGGTAACCGGCGGAGGGATGCAACAAAAACTCCGATAATAATATTTGAAATATTAAAGAAATTTCAGTTTGCCGTTGGAAATAGAATCCTTGACAAGCTCCATATGGCATGAAGCTTTCTGTGCTCCACTCAATCCAGAATAGGAGCCACTTCCTATGGTGATAGCGAAGTAAAGATAAACAGTACATAGAATAGTAAGGAGCACGAGAGCAGATAAGAGGAAGCGGTGCCTTTGGAAAAGTGTTGACCAGCTACCAAGTCCATCCTTAGGTCTCCGGATAGATGGAGACTTTAAACGTGGAGAAGATGAAGACAAAATGTTGTCAAGAACCAAGGCTTCTGTAATAACCTTCTTCTGCGCACTTGAAGCTGCCTAGAGTTCCGTTCCGTTTGGTGTGTTAGTGAAGCTGGGAAAACCAAAGAGGCGGAAGGAATGCGACGGTGGAGAACGTAACGATCATTAGTTGGTTCGATCATTCGCTCACCGCCCAAGAGTTATTATGGTGTGAATGTGAGTAAAAAAAAAAGAGAATGGAAACGAATGTGTGTAGTGAGTGGGTTAATGAGAGAAAGAGAGAGTTTATTATTGTGTTCCCCCCCTTAACAAAGAAAAGAAAGAAGTGTTTATATAGACAGATCAAGAGGAAATTTCACTTCTGTTTTGCAATTCATTTGCTATTTTTCTGGATCGATCCATTACTCTCTCTAACAACCAATCAGAATAAAGCACAGTTTAACAAATAATTTTTTATGACCAAAAAGCCCTTAAATGATAAAAATAACCAAAAAACAAAATGCATTAAAATTAACTCAATTTAAAATGATTTTTTGAATATTTTATGAATAAAATATAAAGACCCAAAATGACCAAAAATGATAAAAAAACGAACAAAAATTTATCCGAAAAAATAAAATGAACACATTAAAATAATCTACATGTCACAAAGATTAAAGAAAAAATATTCAAGAAGTCAAAAATCAAAAATAAAATAATAATAAAAATATCAGACTAAACAGACGTTTAAGGTTAAAAACGAGACTTCGAACTGTACCGAAAAATAAAGCGAGCATACCGTCATAATCTACGCGAAGCACAGATTCATAAAATGATCGGTAAAAAGGTGAAAACTTGAAATATTTTCTCGCTACTTTCCCGCATAGTGTCAAATCGCTTTTAACAGTCTGTCTATAAAATCAAAACATTTTTATTATCGACATATAAACAACTTGGAGCAGTGCGAGAAAAATAGTAAACAGATAAAAATGAATGAAGTGAAATGTCGGGTATTTTACAACTGAAAGACGATGCAAACTTTGATTTAAACTGACTTTTTCTGGTCAACTTAAATACGACTAATGATGCAAAATATGATGGATGAAGATATTTACTAATGATTGTGACCAAATGACAAAATATGGTATGAATGTGCGACTAAAAAATTAGGGGCGAAATTAAGGGTGCAACGGTGTGCCTTGATGAATCAGTCTTCGAGAATCCACAATCAACCGTACTTTTGGCTTGGGAGACTCAAAACCTTAATTGAGACGCGACACCTGATGCTCTTGATTCAGACTTGTCTCTGCACATGAAACAAAAGAAAACATGAACATACACCTTTGCATGCGATTAGAAATTAGTGATACATAGGCTAAAAGTGTTCAAAACACTTGACAATCTTCGCATAGTCAAAGCTCGAAGGTGAGACGTTAAAACCGACTGTATTTCGTGACCTTGACTTATGCAAAAAATAAAAATGGGATCTTAGGTCAAAAATTGGGGTACAACACAAGGGTACCATCCATTGGAATAACAAAAATCTTGACAACGGACTACCTTCCATAATGACAAGGTTACCATCCATTGGAATAACAAAAATCTCTACAAAAGACTACCTTCCATAATGACAAGGCTACCATCCAACGAAATGATAAAAAACTTGACAATAGACTACCTTCCATAATGAAAAGGCTACCATCCAACGAAATAAAAAAAATTTCGACAACAGACTACCTTCCATAATGACAAGGTTACCATCCATTGGAATAAAAAAAAACTCAACAACAAACTACCTTCCATAATGATAAGGTTACCATCCATTAGAGTAACAAAAGTATCAACAACAGACTACCTTCCATAATTACAATGGTACCATCCATTGGAATAACAGAAATCTTGAGAACAGACTACCTTCCATAATGACAAGGTTACCATCAATTGGAATAACAAAAATCTCGATAATAGACTACCTTCCATAATGACAAGGCTACCATCCATTGGACTATCAAAAATCTCGACAGGAGACTACCTTCCATAATGAAAAGGCTTCCATCAATTGGAGTAACATTAATCTCGACAACAGACTAGATTCCATAATGACAAGGCTACCATCCATTGGAGTAACATAAATCTCAATGAAAGACTAACTTCCATAATGACAAGGCTACAATTAAACGAAATAAGAAAAATATCGACAACAGACTACCATCCATAATTACAAGGTTACCATCCATTGGAATAAAAAAAATCTCGACAAAAGACTACCTTCCATAATGACAAGGCTACCATCCAACGAAATAACAAAAATTTCGAGAACAGACTACCTTCCATAATGAAAAGGTTACCATCCATTGGAATAAAAAAAAACTAGACAACAAACTACCTTACATAATGACAACGTTACCATCCATTAGAGTAACAAAAGTATCGACAACAGACTACCTTCCATAATTACAAGGGTACCATCCATTGGAATAACAAAAATCTTGAGAACAGACTACCTTCCATAATGACAAGGTTACCATCAATTGGAATAACAAAAATCTCGATAATAGACTACCTTCCATAATGACAAGGCTACCATCCATTGGACTATCAAAAATCTCGACAGCAGACTACCTTCCATAATGACAAGGGTACCATCCATTGGAATAACAAAAATCTTGACAGCATACTACCTTCCATAATGACAAGGCTACCATCCATTGGAATAACAAAAATATCGACAAAAGACCACCTTCCATAATGAAAAGGCTACCATCCAACGAAATAACAAAATCATCGACAATAGACTACCTTCCATAATGACAAGGCTACCATCCAACGAAATAACAAAAATTTGACAACAGACTACCTTCCATAATGACAAGGTTACAATCCATTAGAATAAAAGAAAACTCGACAACAAACTACCTTCCATAATGACAAGGTTACCATCCATTAGAGTATCAAAAGTTTGGACAACAAACTACCTTCCATAATTACAAGGGTACCATCCATTGGAATAACAAAAATCTTGACAACAGACTACCTTCCATAATGACAAGGTTACCATCCATTGGAATAACAAAAATCTCTACAAAAGACTACCTTCCATAATGACAAGGCTACCATCCAACGAAATAATAAAATTTTTGACAATAGACTGCCTTCCATAATGACAAGGCTACCATCCAACGAAATAAAAAAAATTTCGACAATAGACTACCTTCCATAATGACAAGGTTACCATCCATTGGAATAAACAAAAACTCGACAACAAACTACCTTCCATAATGACAAGGTTACCATCCATTAGGGTAACAAAAGTATCGACAACAGACTACCTTCCATAATTACAATGGTACCATCCATTGGAATAACAGAAATCTTGAGAACATACTACCTTCCATAATGACAAGGTTACCATCAATTGGAATAACAAAAATCTCGATAATAGACTACCTTCCATAATGACAAGGCTACCATCCATTGGACTATCAAAAATCTCGACAGGAGACTACCTTCCATAATGAAAAGGCTTCCATCCATTGGAGTAACATTAATCTCTACAACAGACTACCTTCCATAATGACAAGGCTACCATCCATTGGAGTAACATAAATCTCAATGAAAGACTACCTTCCATAATGACAAGGCTACCATTAAACGAAATAACAAAAATATCGACAACAGACTACCATCCATAATTACAAGGTTACCATCCATTGGAATAACAAAAATCTCGACAAAAGACTACCTTCCATAATGACAAGGCTACCATCCAACGAATTAACAAAAAATTCGACAACAGACTACCTTCCATAATGACAAGGTTACAATCCATTAGAATAAAAAAAAACTCGACAACAAACTACCTTCCATAATGACAAGGTTACCATCCATTAGAGTATCAAAAGTTTGGACAACAGACTACCTTCCATAATTACAAGGGTACCATCCATTGGAATAACAAAAATCTTGACAACGGACTACCTTCCATAATGACAAGGTTACCATCCATTGGAATAACAAAAATCTCTACAAAAGACTACCTTCCATAATGACAAGGCTACCATCCAACGAAATGATAAAAAACTTGACAATAGACTACCTTCCATAATGACAAGGCTACCATCCAACGAAATAAAAAAAATTTCGACAACAGACTACCTTCCATAATGACAAGGTTACCATCCATTGGAATAAAAAAAAACTCGACAACAAACTACCTTCCATAATGATAAGGTTACCATCCATTAGAGTAACAAAAGTATCAACAACAGACTACCTTCCATAATTACAATGGTACCATCCATTGGAATAACAAAAATCTTGAGAACAGACTACCTTCCATAATGACAAGGTTACCATCAATTGGAATAACAAAAATCTCGATAATAGACTACCTTCCATAATGACAAGGCTACCATCCATTGGACTATCAAAAATCTCGACAGGAGACTACCTTCCATAATGAAAAGGCTTCCATCAATTGGAGTAACATTAATCTCGACAACAGACTAGATTCCATAATGACAAGGCTACCATCCATTGGAGTAACATAAATCTCAATGAAAGACTAACTTCCATAATGACAAGGCTACAATTAAACGAAATAAGAAAAATATCGACAACAGACTACCATCCATAATTACAAGGTTACCATCCATTGGAATAAAAAAAATCTCGACAAAAGACTACCTTCCATAATGACAAGGCTACCATCCAACGAAATAACAAAAATTTCGACAACAGACTACCTTCCATAATGACAAGGTTACAGTCCATTGGAATAAAAAAAACTCGACAACAAACTACCTTCCATAATGACAAGGTTACCATCCATTAGAGTATCAAAAGTTTGGGCAACAGACTACCTTCCATAATTACAAGGGTACCATCCATTGGAATAACAAAAATATTGACAACAGACTACCTTCCATAATGACAAAGTTACCATCCATTGGAATAACAAAAATCTCGACAAAAGACTACCTTCCATAATGACAAGGCTACCATCCAACGAAATAAATTTTTTTTTGACAATATACTACCTTCCATAATGACAAGGCTACCATCCAATGAAATAACAAAAATTTCGACAACAGACTACCTTCCATAATGACAAGGTTACCATCCATTGGAATAAAAAAAAACTAGACAACAAACTACCTTCCATAATGACAAGGTTACCATCCATTAGAGTATCAAAAGTTTG